TGACTTAAGAACTGGGGACTTATAGTCCCTTTAACCAGGATGTGAAGCCCTCAGCATGGGGCAGGCAGCTAGCAGGACCAGTGAGGCTCAGGTACTGCTGTTGTTACTGATACTGTTATCATATTCACTCATTCCTCTGACGTCCTAGAGCCCTTGCTGTCTGCATCTCCCAGTCCTCGCGTCATTTCCATTGTCTTGTGTGACCTTCCAGTGGCTCCCACGGAGAAAGCTTCTCCCTTAGACTCTACCGTAGTACATCCAAAGCATTGCCCACCTGCCCCTTGAGCCCAGCACAGAGCTTAGCCCTCAGGAGGTACTTGGTGATTTGAACCTTGATCACTCCGCATCTTTACCAGGGATGTAGGGATGAGCTCTGATCACATCCAACAGCCCCAAGGCCAACGCTACTACCTCTGTTTGACTTTCCAGATATCTGTGACCTTCGATGATGTGGCCGTGACTTTTACCCAGGAGGAGTGGGGGCAGCTGGACCCGGCCCAGAGGACCCTGTACCAGGAGGTGATGCTGGAAAACTGTGGCCTTCTGGTGTCTCTGGGTGAGTCCTCCCCACTCCACCATGGGGGGACCTGCCACCTTCTTGTCAGAGCACCCTGTGGCTCCAGGCCTGGCTGGTCAAGAAGGCCTCTGGGTCCCCACCCCCACCCGCCCGCAGCTTCAGTCATTTTCTAGACTCATCTCTTTGGGCCTGCTCTCCTGGGTCTGTCTGGGCAAGAAACAGTTCCTCTTTGGCTCCTAGAAAGTAATGGAAGGAAAGGGGGGTGTTGTGCAGACCCAGAGGGAGGGTTTCCAGCTGGGTCCTGTGAGGGACTGACAGAGGAACAGGGAACCACCACGATTATACCCTGGCTTCTGGTCTCTTGTCCTGGCTTCTCTCTCTGGCTCTCTGCTCATGTCACTGTATGCAGAAAGGTTTTTCCTCTGCCTCATCAGGTTGCGACAGGACTGGCCACCTGGTCCCTGCTCTTTCTGGCCCCCAGATTCCTGGTCTCCGCGTCTTTTTTCGTGTTTATGTTGTTCCTCTTTCTCTGTCTGCTGCTGGGCTGTGTGCGGTGTCCTTGGGGCAGGAACGGCCACCCGAGCCAGTGCTTCTCTGGACCTCTCACCCAGTGCCCAGCACAGACCGGCCTCCATCCGAGGTTCTGATTTCACATTCCAGAGAGGGAGCTGACTGCGTGAGCCTGATTGGCTCAAGTGTCCTTAGCAGGGCTGTGAGTGATGGGGTGTTCTCCAAGAAGAGAGTGAGTCAGGCAGGGCCCCGGGAGGCCTTTGCCTTCAGTGCCAACAGGTGTTGTCCCAAACAACATGATCCCGGTTGTGGGGCTCCTTTGTGTCTGTGTGCCTTCGCGATTATCACTTGTTTCGAGGGCCAGCATCCTCTGCCAGTCCGAGAGAGAGGTTAGAGTAATACTTCTCAGCAGTTGGGATTTGTGCCCCCAGGAGACATTTGGCGATGTTTGCAGCCACTTTGGGTTGTCTGGCCTTGAGTGTAGGTGGTACTGGCGTCTAGTGGTTAGAGTCCAGAGATGCCGTAAACGTCCTTCGATGGACAGGACCGCCCTCTTCAATGAAGGATTGTCCCGCCTGCAGCATCCAGAGTGCCATGGTTGAGAAACACCAGCTTAGATGTTTCTCTGCTTGAGGAGAGTGACCACAGCGCCATTCAACTTGAGGGAAAGGAGGGCTATAAATCCAGAGCTTAGGATGAGACATGCCTGTTCTTAGAGGACTGGAATTATGTCTGTCAGTGAGAAGAGAAAAAGCAAAATTAGAAAAGTTGGCTAGATTAAATATTTCATAACAAAATGTTTCAAAATAAAAAGTCCACTCTCTCTTCCTGCTGACCTCATCCGCCACCGTCAGTGCTTTCCCTGAGCTCACTGTGCTCTGGCTGTGCTGGGCATCTAGTGATTTCCCCACGCCCAGCCCTGCCTCGGGCCTCTGCTTGCTGTTGTGTCTGCCTGGGGAGTGTCCGTGGCCATTTCAGCCTCTCTCGCGGTCACCCCTTCTGTGCAGAATCACTGTCTCGCCAGCTGTGTCCTGCCCAGCGGAGCTCATGGCGGCCCCTCCCCCACCCCTCACTTGGTCTCGTCATCCTGGTGACAACTCTCTGTGCCAGTGGTTCTCATCCAGGGATGGTGTCGCCCCCCGCTGACGCTGGCCAGTGTCTGGAGATATTTTTGGTTGTCACAGGTGGGATGGAGGTGGGACCGGCACCTAGTGGGTGGAGACCTGGAATGCTGCCAGCACGTCCTTACAATGCACAGGACAGTTTCCTCCCTGTCTTCCCAACAAAGAATTACCTTGACCTAAATAGTCATGCCCATGAACCCAAGTAATTATGCGAGATTGAGAAACCTTGTTTCAGAGAGTGCAGGAATACTTCGTCAACTGGCATTGAGAGACAACCTGACATAATCGTTTCCTGCCTTCTGATTGTTTTTGATGGCAAGTCTGGATTTAGTGCTGAGTCTTAATACACTTTCTTCATTCCCCCCACCCTCCGATTGTTGGTACTTTTCCCTTTAAAACGGAGTAGCCTTGAGTTTATAGCCCTGAGTAGGGAGCATGAGGTCACTGGGATTTAACATCATTTTGATTTCATTGTTGAGTTTTCGTGGTGACCTGCCACCAAAGGAAGTGACTCTAGGTTTCCCATTTACCAGAGTGATGCAAGATTCTTTCTTTGACGAAAATAAGAAAAAATAGACATGAGTCATGTTAAAAAAGTTCATAATCATCAGCACAGATGCCCTGAGCACTGACCAAGCAGGACTTTTCGGGCCTATTCATGCTCTACTCATTTAAATTCCCACAGCATTCCCCCTCTATTAATTTGTACTTGAAAGATTTTAATTTACGGAGGTGACTCAGTGACAGACGACACAGGGAGGTAATGCTATTGTATATTTTACGTATCTGTGTGTGTTTTGTGTATATATACACGTGCACACACCTGTACACATGTGCCTGTGTGTGTTGTAGTTGTGTGTAAAAGAAGAACTTTTTCCTCTACTCAGCAACTTCTGATACCAAATTTTGTTTTCACACCATGCAGTTCTGACACTGACTACGTGGAGTTAGCACAGATCCCACAGGTTAAGGGCTCAGTCTCCTGGGCAGCCTCTCGCCCTCCCAGCCACATCCACTTCAGACGCCAGTCTCAAGTCCAGGTTGTCACCTGTGCTGATCAGTTGGTTGTAAATCAGAGGTAGGACCCCTTCCTCAGAGTTGACCATTTGCTAGGGTGGCTCACAGAACTTAGGAAAGCACCTTACTTAATATTAACTGTTTTGAATTCAGAAACCACTAAATGGGAGAGATGCAAACAAGGTTCATAGGACAGGGCACTGAGCTTCCGTGCCCTCTGGGCTTGCACCCTTCTAGCACCTCGTTGGGTTAACCAACCTGGAAACTCACTGAATGACTTTAGTTAGGGTTTTTTGTGAAAGCTTCATTACCTAGGCATAATTGATGAAACCACTGGCCGTTGGTGATTGAACTCAATCTCCAGCCCTTTTTGCCTCCACAGAGGTGAAGGGATGGAACAGAATGTTCCAGTGTTATAATCAAATGATTCGTCACCCTTACCCTTCCTCCTTAGAAGTTTTTTAAAAAAGTCACCTCAGGAACATAATAGAATTCTTAATAGAAAGCAAAAAAGGTCCTGTGTCTAATTTCTGTCTTAAGAGAGGTAGTCTATGGACATTTGCTGGGGTGAAGGTTTTAGCATCAGGGGGTGGAGTCGTCTTCATTGTTGAGGGGTCTGGCACGATGTTGTCTGGGTGTGTGACTGGGGTATCCTTTGCAAGTGAGTGCCCACTCACATCGATGGGGTTTTTGCCATGTTTGGTTGAAACAGTGGTGTTAGTGTGCGGTGTAAGTAGACCAAGAGGCCTTTTATTAAGGCAAGATAGAGACCCATTTAGGGGTTTATTTGTCACACTGGAATTTAAAAGGAGTTGTTTCAAGTGACCATTTATGTCTTTTACTTAAACCAGTTCTTTGGGGGCATGTTTGGGCCATGAAAGCTCTGTTGAATGTCTCTTCCCAGAGCGTAGCATTGTGTAATTTGAGAAGTGAAATGTGTGTCTATTACCAGTATTGTCTGCAACTCTGAAGGGAATAAGGAATGTCCTGGCAGTGCCTTGTGTTGTGGCTGTATGTGCAGAGATGTATGATTTTGACTTCTATTTGGAGTGTCTGTGAGACAAGAGATTCTTAGGAGTTCTTTACCCCAAAGCAGACCATTTTTAGGCAATGGCCCTGCACTTTATAATGAATGTGGAGATGGGGCCATTTGTTGATCAGGGCATTTGGCACTAAGATACCCCCCCCCCCACGAAGTTTGGTCAAGTAATATTTTTTAGGTCTCATTTTTTATTTAGAACATTCTGGCTAAGGGATAGAAAGCAGCAACATTCCACTGAACTCCATCACGTATGATGGATAGCAGTGTCTTCCTAATAGTCCAGAAACTCCCGTAACTGTTCACTCTGTTAATCTCAAGGGACTTTCCAGGTGGCCAGAGGGTCTGGGGGAGGGCTGACCTCCTCCAGCACTGTAGCGTCTGGCAAGGGACTGAGGACAGGAGAAGCTGCCACCTCCTACAAGTGGAGCTATGCCAGAGGGCCCAGATGGGGTTCCATTCTGTCTTACAGAGTCCTGAGGAGCTGTGCTGAGCTTGTGCTGTTAACGGTATTTTGAATAGATCTTAGAGTCTTTGTTGGAGGAAATCCTTTGGGATTGGTAATTGGGGTAATTGGTAATCAGTTGGGCTGATTGGTAACTAACAGCAGTAGTGAGATTAAATAAAATTTATAAATGAGGAATGTAGTCACCAGCCCCCAAATAACACTAAGTAGTAGTATTAGCTGAAACTGTCCCCACAATGGGACGAAAAGACACCGGATTGATGTATCCATATGAATGTGTCGAGTGAATTTCCTTGGACGAGGCTGTCGTCAGTGTACCGTCACACCTGTGCTACTAGAGAAAGGTGGGTGCACTTAAGCTCTTGTGTGCAGAGATTGCAGCGGCAGAGCTGTGGAGCCAGCCTCACAGGCAGCCTGGGAAAGAAGAGTTTACCTTCAGAGTAAAGGCAGGCTGGCAGAGAAGCCGTTGAAACAGGCCCTGAACAGAAGACGGTCAGCCAGATCTGTAAGCCCAAGGTCGTCGCCAGGTTGTTGATTGGATAACGTTATTAATTTATTTATATTGGGTATTGGGTGTGTGGATCGTGTGGATCAGCTCTGCCTGCCAGACTGTGTGGCTTAAACAATAGCTCTATTTTCATGGCATTCTGGAGGCTGGAAGTCCCAGACCTGAGGTGCCAGCAGACGGGTTTCTGATGATGAGCTCTTCCTGGCTGCTGCCTTTGTGCTGTGTCCTCACGTGGCCCTGCCTCTGGCTTGGAAAGGCCCCTTTCTCCTCCTCTTTGAGGACACCAGTCCTCCCAGATTGGGGCCACATCCCCGCGACCTCATTTAACCTTAATTACCTCCTTACAGGCCCTATCTTCAGATGTGATCACATTGGGAATTTGGGCTAAGTAATGACATTTAGGGGCAGACACACTCGGTCCTTAGCAGGAACCCTAATGGATGGACCACCACATTAAGATTGTAGTAACCCACCAGGAGGAGCCCTTTATTTTTCCCAGGTTAAGAACAGACACAACTGGGCTGTCAAATGGAGAAGCAATAGGACAGTCATTCCTTTATTGATTAGCTGTTATGTGAAGTTTTACTCCCTGGAGGCCCTTTTCCAGCTTCCACTGGGCCATATTCACTATCTCAACTGGTGTTTGTGGGTCCCATTTTACCAAGTCAATTTGTGAGCATCCATGCCCAAAATGGGATATTTTAGGACAATGGATACTATGAGTAGGGGAAATATAGGCAAGTCTACAGTTAAAGTGAGACATACGTATTTTTCCTCTGTATTTCGCTACTTTTTAAGTTTGGGCAGAGTAATATTTAAATTTAGTGGGATCTCCAGGTATCACTATGATTTGAGCCCTAGTATTAATTAAATGTATGAAGTTTTGTCATTTGGTACATTTTAGCAAATTCTAAAGTTAACTCAGAACCTATATTGTAGAGTCAGAAAAACCGATCAGTGCCGTGTTATGTTTTGGTGATAAATTTTTTTTTGGAGTATAAATTTTGTTATGCTATACATAATTATTATATATAACATATAAGTTTTTAGTATATAAATTTTGCATTTCCAATTGGGTCAAATTATAGACTGTGATTTAGTTATATACTGTGTCTTATTTAGTTATCTTTTATTTTCTCCCTCTGTATCTAGGGGTTGTTACTATTTTAAATCAATAAATAGTTTAGAATGAGTTATGTTTTCTAGACCTGGTATTTGCTTGGTACATAAGTTTTAAAGCGCACCCCCCTCCTTTTTCTCTTGGGCTTTCAGCTTCCTAAAGCCCCATATAGCTGAAGGGAGTCTTCCCTTTCCACTGCCCCATTACTGGGCCCTGTGCTGAGCGTGTAGCAGATATGAGCGATTTGCTTAGTGACAACTGATAATCTTGGGGTGTTGTTCAGGATCTGCCAGAGCAGCCTTCTGTGGGTCCTGGTGCCTTTGCCTTTGATTTCTCTATAGAGTCCTGTGTCTTTTTACCCTGCATCTGTGTTTGGCTACATATGACAGAGCAGCTCAGTCTTCACCCTGAAGGAAATTTATTATCTCACGTAATAAGAAGCTCAGAGGTGGGACTGGCTCCCAGGTGGGTGGGTGATAACCCAGCTGTGTGTTTCTTTACTTCCTCTCTATGGTGTAGGTCTTTTAGGCAGGTTCCCTCACAAAAGTCCCGGGACGCCGCCAGACAACAGGAGCAGCAGATCCCCTCATTCAGCCATCCTGGAATAGAGCTTTCTAAAGTTGCGTACCTCTAACTATTGGTGATTGAGGAATGCCACTTGCAGGTTGGTAGAGACTAGTTTTTCAACCTTCCTTTGATGCCAGAATCATCTGGGGAGGTTTTAAAATCTACCGATATCCAGGCCTCACCTGCAGAGATTTCCTTTCCATTGGATGTGAACCCAACATGCCAGGAGGGGTTGATGCACGCATGGTTGAGACTCACTTACTTGGATTGATTAGGAAACACTTTCTGGAAGGAGGAAGTCATATTCCCTGGGATTCTGTGTGCTGGAAGCCAAAGAGAATAGGTGCTGTCTACACAGCCAGCACTACTGTCTAAAGTCTTTGGATCCCAGCAGTGGTGTTTGTGCCTATTTCCAGGTGACAGGTTGGTATTTTGTTAGTGTGGATGGGAGCAACTTCTTTCCGAGGTCATTTCCGCATCCTGAAGTCCCAGAATAGATTGAGACGTTTTCTTTCTTTTCACAGAAACCCTAGTGTCTTCTTTCCTTCTCTGTGAACAGGGTGTCCTGTTCCTAGACCTGAGCTGATCTACCAGCTGGAGCACGGGCAGGAGCTGTGGACGTGGAAGAGACACCTGTCTCAAAGCGCCTATCCAGGTAGGAGCCAAGATGTGGGCAGGTGGGAGACCCTGCAGGCTCGAGACCAGGAGGAGACCACTGGCCCTGGTTCCCTGGGGAAGCTTCTTGTTCTGGCCTCTCTGGGGGTTTGGAAGGCACGGAGCCCTTTGACCCGAAGTCAGCATGCCTGGCAAGGTACCCAGAATGTTGCTCACTCCTTCCACCTCCCAAGTTTCAGTGAATGGTCCTGCCACCCAAGCAGGTTAGAGACTGGGTACGGCCTCAGAGAATCCTCACACCGCCGCCTCCCTCAGTCCCCGCATCCGGCCATGCCCCAGTCCTGTGCGCTTCACATCTTGTACATCTCCTGAATCCCGTCACTTGCACCACCTTCCTCAGACCCGTCCCCAAGCTCAGTGCACGCTCCCATCCTCTTTTCTCTGGGGGATGCTACTAGTCTCCTCACCGGCCTCTGTATCCTCTGGTGCCTCTAGTCAGCTCTGTGTCCTGCATGAGCTACTCCAGGAGCTCAGACTTTGTTCCAGGTGGTTACCACTTCCCCAGCCCTGGATGTCTCAGCATATGACCCCTGAGGTGTCAGCGGGTCTTTGCGTTGAAAGTAAAGTCCGCCTCCTCCATTGCTTGATCCTCGACCCTACCGCACTTGCTCAGGCTCCGGTGTCTGCAGCTTCCCCTTCCATCTTGAGGGAGAGGTCTTGCCTCTGGCCCTGGCCAGTTCCTGAACCAGAGTCTAGAGCACACCTTTTCAGGAAGATGTTTTCTTCATTCATATTGTTTGTTTTGTAATGTAATGTCATCCTTTCTCTACTCAACATAAAAATAGACTCAAATTCCTTTAGCTGAAGAAAATCAATAAATACCTGTCTCACATCATATTCATCTACTCTGTGTACATTCAGTTATTCACATGTTTTGACTCTCATACGTGGTGCTGCCAGGAGCAGTCCTGTATCAGTCATCTTGCACATGATTACGGTGTCT